GGCAGGCGCCTGAGATCCTGACACATCCTACCTGCTCCTTCCTGCCCCTGGCTAAGCCTTTCTTTGTTCCCACATGCTCTTTCTGATCTTTGCTGGTCATCTTTATAAAGCTAGCTTATCCGTCCCCTACTCAATAGAGTCTTCCCCAACCTAGGGCCCCCACTCTATATTCCCAGGATTCTCCCCTGCTGGCCAAGTATTCTAGCACCATACACACTGCCAGACAAGTACCTGCAAGCAGAACTTTCCCTGAAGAGCTTTAGACCAGTGGTTCTCAAACTATGGGTGGAGACTCCCAACAAACTTTTATCTTCAGAAATAGTTACATTACAGTTCACAACAGTAACAAAGTTACACTTATGAAGAAGCAACAAAAAGTAAATTTATGATTAGGCGGTTGCTACAACTTGAGGAACAGCACTGTATTACAGGGTCACAGCATTAGGAAGGTTGAGATCCACTGCTTTAGACCATTATGTTATAGACGGAGGAGCCATGAGCAGAGAAGAGACAGGGTTCTGATTTATATAAGTCTGCAAAATATTTGCCCCTAATCTGCAAAATGTTTGCCCCTAATCTGACCTTCTCATAGTCAGCACTGCACATCTCAAAATTGACCCCTTGTCATAAGAACCTTAGAAATGGGGGGGGCATCAAAACTGAAGACAGGCTGAACACAGGTTTAAGGATGGAGCTGAGAACCGTGCTTGCAACCTACACTCGATTGCATCCCATATTTCTCTTCTCCCAGACACTGCCCAGAAGAGAACTGAAGGTGCATGTGTGATCTTAATCTTTGGGAAAGACCTAGGAATTAGCCTGCATTCTCTATTAGTTTTTGGTAACGCTTTCTATAATATTGTCCTTGGCCTTTTCTTCTTGGAGTAGGAAGACCTGCATAATTTAGGGGTGAATGTCATCTCTTCATGGGCATCAGGAAGGGGAGGGCACGGAGATGCCTACTTGACATCATTGGCGCTAGGATGCTAGAATGTTTGGGATTGCTCTCCTTAGAAAAGCCTGTTTGCAAAGTAGGGTGGGGGCTGAAGTCTCGGAGCACAGACTTCAGGACTCTTTCTCTTCAACCTCTAAGGGCAAGCATAGCCACCAGGATTCTAGTCTTTGTATAAACAATCTAGTCTATGCAGAACGCCTGCTTTCCTTTGCAAATCTAGAATTTTGTAGTGAGACGGAGAATGGCTGTGTGACCAAATCCCCCAAAAGCTTTAGTATAGAGAAATGTGTCTCTAGCAGAAAATTCACATTTCTCTACAATTCACCAACAGAGGACTCATGTTGAGATTCCAAAGGAGAGGGCTCTTGGGACCCAGCGCCTGGCTGTCTTTGGACTTGGTCCCCTGTGTCTTTTCCAAGTTTTCCTTGTTTATTCTCACTGTAAGAAGTTACAAGTATAACTAACTATATACTGAATCTTGAGGAACCTCCCAGGAGCCCATCATACTCAGAGATGGCCTTTGGAGACTCCTAAAAAGGGAATTTTTAAAGTATTCATGGGTTGTGGTGCAAGTCACAAGAAGTTCAGACCTTATAAAAAGAATACAGGCAATATCAGGACACATGGAGGAGACACCATCTCCCCATAAAGGCAGGCAGGGTGTGTGACCTGGACAGTGGCATGCGCTGTGCAAAGTGTCAGAATAAAATTATGGAATGAAACCTATAAGGCGCAGGACAGTTGATTTTGTCCTGTCCTGGAGACCTAACTTTTCCTACTATTAAAATGTCCAGCACACCGGCTGTGGTGGTGTACGCCTACAATCTCGCAGAGTCCGAGAGTATCCTCTGCACACAGTGAATTCATAGCTAGCCTATGTGACAGACACCCCCCCCACACACACCAAATCAGGTAACATCATGAATGAAGTCAGGTAAATCTTTCTCTGCACTCAGTCTCTTCAGTGGATTTACTCTGGCTCCCAGGGAAGCCATGGCTTCTTCCTACTGAGAGCAAGCCTGCTGTTGTGAGCACCGATCTAGCAGAGTGTCTTTTTTAAGAATGCAAGTCAAGGGGTCAAGGGACCAGAGAGGTGATTGGCTCACTTCTGTTTTTCTGTTTATTCCTAGCTCTGTTTTATTTGTTTGGCTTTTTCACTGTTTTGGTTTGGTTTTGGGAGGCATGGTCTTTCTATAAAGCCCTCACTATGTAGACCAGACAGGTCTCCATCTCTTGGAGACGAGCCTGACTCTGCCTCACAAGTGTGGGATTAAAGACACATGTCACCACACCTGGCCCTAGCTCCCTATTTTGTGAACAGTAATTGGATAATAAATTGATATGCGTGGGGCTGGAGAGATGGCTCACAGGCCAAGATCACTTGTTCTTCCAGAGCCCCCAAGTTCAGATTCTACTACCTACTTCAAATGACTCACAAATGCCTGTAACTCCAGCTCCAGGGGATCTGACACCTTCTCCTGGCCTCAAGTACTCACATGCATATAACACACACCCTCTGTGTGTGTGTCTTTATGTGTGTCTGTGTGTGTCTGTCTCACACATATAAAATACACCCTCTCTCTGTGTGTCTGTGTGTGTCTCTGTCTCACACATATGACATACACCCTCTCTCTGTGTGTCTGTGTGTATGTCTCTGTCTCACACATGATATACACCCTCTCTCTGTGTGTCTGTGTGTGTATGTGTGGATCTGTCTCACGTATATAACATACACCCTCTCTCTCCGTCTGTGTCTTTGTCTCACACATATGACATACACCCTCTCTCTATGTCTGTGTCTCTGTCTCATGTATATAACATACACCCCCTTTTCTCTGTCTGTGTCTCTGTGTGTGTTTCTGTGTTACACATACAACATAACCCTCTCTCTCTGTCTCTGTCTCTCTCCCTCATACGCACATAATATTTTTTAAAAAAGAATGCAGACCAAATGAAAGTAGGGCTAAGTGATGATGGTTTGTATTTATTCCCAGGGTCCTCTGTCTTTTCCTTACTCCTTATGATTCACTTTGATCTTAAAATTACAAAATGTACTTGTCAATGGGAGAATATGTTTTACTTTACCAAAGAATTTATTTCATTTTAATAGAACAGCCATGTTTATTCCAAACAAGAGCCACATCTGATCTTGTAGGCAAGCCACTCCTTACTTTTTCAATTCACACAACATTTTTAAAAGACAACACCTCATTTGATCCTCATAACAACACAATAAAGTAGATTTGACTTTTTTTCTTCATTATGGAGGATGAAATGCAGAGCCTCATGCACGCTCGCCAAATGCTCTACCACGGAGCTCCATCCTCAGTCCAACAAGACAATGGGGCTTTCATCTTCCATGGCACGGAATGTGCTGTGATTTGGCTGGCGGGCTGGCTATGACTTTAGAAAAATGAGAGCTTTATAGAAATGAATAATCCCTGAAATCTCACCATGGAGGAACAGGTTAAAAGGCAAGGCAGGCGTTTGGAGGAATTATTAAGATCACAAATTAAGTCACTTCTATGGACTCCATAGCAGGAAATAGATTTTTAATGAGGAAATTGGAGCTAATACGTACCAGCTGTCCCGTTACCCACTGACGAGTATTAAGGCAGATTAAATTATTAATGGAAACTGTAGCAGCTTAGAAGCTCAACCTCCCCGCATCCCCTCCTTCCTCTCTTCTCTCTCCTGGTTCAACACTGCCGTTAGGAGCCGCGCAGCCAGTCAGACACGGTTTGCAGCAATCACCTGCCTTCCTCCCCAGCAGCTGTGGTGTCTGCCCAAGTTGCTGACCCCTGCTTTGCAGCTGCGGAACGGGGAGGACAACGAACGCATCGAGCTAAGCAGAGGATTAGAGGAGGCTGGAGAAGTAGCATGGGCAATGACCGGCTTGAGGCGAGCTAGTCACAGAAGCAGAGGTTCCTGAGATACGGGAAGAAGGTGGGATCGGGAACTACTGATTGCAGTAACATCTAAAGTGAGCATTCAAACTATCCACACCATGATAGCTATTCAAATTCTTAAGATCCTTGAAATCCTCTGACAAGTGAGGACAGAACTGCTGGCCAGGGCACTCTGCAGGTGGTTAACAACCCAGCTGTCCCTGCTTCTCTCCCGAGACGGAACTCTTATGATCTCACGACCTTCTCCTTTGTGGTACATTACTCTATGAAGTAGCAAGGAGCCTCCCCAAACACCTACTTCCTTGGCAGCCATAGACTCATGAGAAAAGAATAGATATTGTTGAGGCTAAGGATAAGGCTCACTGGTAAAGTGCTGGCCACAAAAGGGTGTGTAACGTGTGCTTGTAATCCCAGTTCTGGGGAGACAGAAACCGAAGGATCCTTGGGGCTTGCTCATCAGCTAGAATAGCTGAATCAGTGAGCTCCAGATTCAACGAGCTCTTGCCTCAAAAAACGAGGAGCTGGAGAGACGAATCAGCAGTTAAGAGTACATTCTGCTCTTCCAGAAGATTCAGGCTCAGTTCTTAGCACCCACATCAGACAGTACACAACTGTCCAGTTTTAAGGAACCCGATGTCCTTTTCTGGCCTCCATATGCTCTGGCACCTACATGATGTATATAAACTCACAGAGGCCCACACACGTACACAGAAATAAAAAAATGTTTAACAAGAAAAAAAATAATAATGTAGAAAGTGGATGAGCAAGGCACGTGACACAGGCATCTGCCCTAAACATACCTGTGTAACCACATAAATAGGTGCAAAATATACAAAACCATATAATCACTTTGGCATACACTACTGATACTTTCAAAGTTGTTATCCTGAAATAGGCAATTAATAATAATGCTATTACAAGAATATTGATGTGATTCCATCAGTTATGTACAATTTTTAAAGTATTAGCTTTATACACACACCAACACCCCCCCCCAACACCATATGGGTGAATACATAGAGAGAAAAAAAAAGAGGAGATTGGGACCCCTCGATCTTTCATATACTGGGTGTCAACTAACCAGAAATTAAGAAAAACAGCTTCCACCAAGACCAGATTGAGGTTTGTGTACTCACGTCAGTGTTGCACAATTTGTACTGCCGATAGGCCCCAATGCACGAGATGGCTGTAGACCGCAGATGCTGGGAAAAGGCCTGAGCTGAGCCCTGGGGCCTGGCACCGCTGTGGCTGCTCAATTCCGTACTGTGGTAGAGGCCTGGAGCTGCAGGATAGCTTTGATCATGAGTCAAAGGCAGCTGATAGACAGAGGCCTCAGAAGCCGGCAGTCCAGAACGAGGGCCGCTGTCACTTTGGTAGAGAGGTTCACTGTGGGAGAACTGGTGGGCTGGTGGCCTGTAGCCCTGCCTAGAAGCAGAGGCCTCCTGGGACCTGGAATGCCGGGATGAAGGCTTTTGTCTCCGAAGCCTCTGTGGAGTATGTGTGGTATCCGTCTGCAGTGGTAAGATGTAGGGAGCCTTCCCATAACCGTACTTGCCAGGGCCGATGGGACCTCGGGTCCTGCTCCTAAAGACAGGCACACAACAAAGACCAGCAGAGTCATGTGAATTTCTATAGCAACTCAAGAGCCCGGAAGAGACATCATGGAAGCCAGAACAGTGGCTCCCTAGAGACTGACATAGAACAGAGGTAGGAATCAGTGGTTGGATGACCTGCAGGTAATGTGAGAGATTAGAAACAAAGTTAAAATCACAAGGGGTGGTTGGTGTAAGCTCACTGCACCGTGAAGCTTGGGCTGTGGTCAGTGTAAGCTCACTGCACCACGATGCTTGGGCTGTGGTCAGTGTAAGCTCACTGCACTGCGATTCTTGGGGCTGTGGTCAGTGTAAGCTCAGTGTACCATGAAGCTTGCCCCGTGATCAATGTAAGCTCACTGCACTGTGATGCTTGGGCTGTGGTCAGTGTAAGCTCACTGCACTGTGATGCTTGGGCTGTGGTCAGTGTAAGATCACTGCACCATGGGCATTTCTGCAGGTCATAGGGAGATACAGGGCTTCCTGAGACCTGTAAAGATACAGTTGCAACTTCAGCAACAGTTACTTTCCCATTCATGTTTTTTCCTTATAATGAATTTTTTTTCTCACTCGGCTGTGAATTTCTCATGATCTCCATGACCATGCAGATCCAAAGAGCATTTTTGGGTAGGTGGAGCTGTGCCTAAACCATGACATTCTACTATAGTCTTGAGAACTAACTTGCCTTGACCTTAAAGGATAAGCAGGGATTAAACGACTGTCTACCATCCCACAATTCCTGAGGAGACCTATGCTATGCAATGAGTTGTCCTCATGCTGGCATGAGTCTTTAGACTTTGTAAAGATCCATTGCCTTCTGAGACCTTGTGGAAATACATTCGCAGTGGTTATGCCCATAAATGTTTAAACTGCATTTCTTGAAATCAAAAGGCCCTGATTTGAAGCATTTGCTGACTTCTATGGTATAAATACGCCCATCGTGTCCAATTTCATGCCACTAGTAGGAAGACAGTCAGTCCTAACAAGCAGGTTAAAAAGCAGCAGCATTGTCCCCAACCTTCTCACTGGTAGAGGACACCCTTCACGTGCACGAGGCTTGGTTTCCATTCTCAATACCAGCACTGCAAAGGGAAACCAGAGCCAGGCCAAGAACTGTCTGTCAAGTTACTTAATTAGCTTTTAATTTTTCTTGTGTGGGGGAGGGCAGAATAGGGCATCAGATCCTCTGGAGCTGCAGTTACAGGAGGTTGTAAACTGTTAGATGTGGGCACTGGGAACTAAACTCAGGTCCTCTGCAAGAAAAGGAGATGCTCTCCAGCCCTGAACATGTCAAGTTGTTATGCAAATACTGTGGCCACAACCCAGAGCTAGGAATGGTGCAGAAAACCAGAAGGAAACCAGGAACGTGTTCCAGGACCCCAACCTCACAATCAAAAGCAACAAGAACAGAATGCAGGCCAGGGTAAGAAGCTTAGAAATAATCTACTTCATTGTGTCTGGAGGAAATTCTGAGGCAACAGGAAACACACATATCCGAGGGATCTGAGGAGGTGTCCTGGCCATTGAGAGGAGGGACTCCCAGTATTCACTACTCTGCAGAAGGACTTAAGTAATTCAATTCTTATTTGAGAAATGACTAAACTGGATTAAATGACCGCCAAGGTTGCTCCAACTCTAAAATTATATGCTTCCATAATAATTAATTCTACATTTATGTAAAACTGGAAATGTGCCCAAGGGTTTCTGCAGGATGGCCCCATTAAAATAAGCACATTAAAATAGCAATCAAGGTGAAACATTGATTTTTGCCCTCCTGGGGAAATTCTTTCTCCACTCTATATAACCATGAATATAAAACTTAACAGAGCACAACTAATTATTAACATCTTTATCACTAATTGCACCTCCATTCTTGGCTGATATGGTTTTGAATTAAACTAAGCAGCAGTATTTATTTTACCTTCAGGCATTTCTCAATTAATCTTGGCAACACTTGGGACTCAGTTAATGGTGGAGGCTTTAACAGATGCCATTAAGAAGTAAGTCTTAGAATACATATAGGACTTGGACCCAATTTGCCTCTTTCTTTCTTGTGGCAGGCCAGGTAAAATGAATGACATCATAGGAAGGCAAAGGAAGGAATTTTGGAGTGTGTATGTTTTTTAAGTTCTGAAAGCCTACCAAAATTGAAATCTAGCCCCAAAGTAAGTGCTCACTGTAGACTCTAGCTGAAGGTAATGGAGAAACCCAGACTACTGGGATAGAACATCTCACAATTGCTGGTGCCTAGGACCTTGTTGAGATGCAGGTTCTGGGGTACAGAGGGGGCTCACTTGGTAAAGGACTTGATGTACAACCATGAGAAGCTCAGTTGATCCCCCTGAGATACCAACAAAAAAGCTGGCCTGCTGGCAAGCCAGTGTAGCTGGCCCAGTGAGCTCCAGGTTCATGGAGCTTTATCTAAAAAAGTAAGGGGGTGAGTGATTAAGTAAGACTCCTAACTTTTACCTCTGGACTCTTCATGTGAGTGTACGTGCACACACACACACACACACACACACACACACACACACACACACACACACTGGTGCACTTTGGTTTGCGAGATCTGGGATGGAGCCTGAGACCCTGCATTTCCAACAGTCTCCCAAGGAGGGTCCAGTGCCACTGGTCCACAAATCCAGGGTTTTGAGGAACAAGGTCACAGAACCGAACTAAACTGAACCTCCAAACAAAGGGGTCAGAATTTAAGTTCAGAAATGACTGGTGTCAGTGAGGAACAATAGAGCAATGGTGGTAAAGACACAAAAACAGCCCTCTGTGTCTGGGGCCTACGGTAAAGGTCCGCTTGTCTGTGCACAGGCTGCCCTGATGTCATTCAGTCACTCAGCACACACTGATGAAGCCACGTCTGCTTGATGACACTTGTGGGCCGCAGGGAGAGCAGCTGCTTGGATGGATGACGATGGAAGCATCTTCCCCAAAGCAGACCCTCACCCCGAGGGTGAGACACACATACAAATGTCTAGTTTCGGAATCACATTGTCTTCCGGGTGGAGTGGGAGGAGAGGGGAGGGGAGCTCTTCAAAATACTCTAACACCATTCAAAATACCCCGAAACCGCCCCACCTTTGGAAAGACAATGATGTGAAAGCATTGAATGCTAGTTTTAGTTTGAGAAACAGATTACAACGAGTAAGCAAGTAGACATGACCGTGAGCAATTTGATTTCTGAGGCCTTGACTCCTAACGCGGGGGTAACAGCAACAGAGTCACCCCACTTGGCTGGGACAGCATTTGTTTTCCTTGTGACCCATCAGAGCAAACAATCTTGGTGGTTCAGGGTGGCCTCTGCCTCACTAAGACAGGGACCATCTGGCCACTTGCGGGGGGCCTCCGCAGAACGGGGTAAATTTACACAGCGTTGTGACAATAAGCACAGATGCGGCTGTGGGGCCCCACGTGGCTGTTTAACCCTTCAAGGAGAGCTCACAGCAGCTGCCGAGGGGGATGATAAGTTGGCTTATTCTTAAGCCTTGTCAGAACCAAGCTGTGGAATTTTCCTTTAGGAATTTCACTTGACAAAATTTTGGCTAATTGTTAAAAGTTAAGCAATGTGCTGGTTAGTTCAAACCGTCAACTCTGCAGCATCTGGAGTCACCTGGAGTCGCCAGGGAAGAGCAGAATTAAGTATGTTAGACTGGCCTGTAGGCAGGTCTGTGGGGATTGTCTTTAGTTGATATAGGAAGACCTAGCCCATGGTGGGTGGCACCATTCCCTAAGCTGGGCTCTGACGGATGCAGGAGTGAGTGGGGAAGGCTGGCTAAGAGCAAGCCAGCAGGAACACGGATACACTTGTTTCTATTTGCTCCTGCAAGGATTTCTTCCTACCTTGACTTCCCCACAATAATGGACCATCACCTGGACCTGTAAGCCAAATAAACCCTTTCCTCCCATGTGGCTTTAGGCCAGGGTATTTATCACAGATATGAAACTAGAACCAGCAATAAGTTACAGTTCAGAGATCAGAGACGTGAAAGCTACAATACTGCAGTGGTCTAAGATAGACACCCTGATGCCAAGAATCATGAGTGAGAACCTCAGCTCTGCCACTGGTGAAAAAGAGGTCATCCAACCAGCTCAGGGGCATTGAATATGCTACTCGATCCTTGTGCCTCGGTTTACTCCTAATGGGGTCAGAACTAGGTTACTACCCAGTGAAGTACTAGGATGTGACATTTCAGGTGATACTCTCCAGGGCAGGCAAGAGACAGCTAGAGCCATTAATAATAATGGTTTTTTTTAATGTTCTGTGCTGTTAATCTCTGCCTCACTCCAACCCCTGTGCTAAACCCATCCTCATTTATAAAGATGGCATCACAATTTGAGCTTCCTGACTATACCACAGTCCTAATGATCAACCCCAACGCCTGACTCTAAACCAGCCTGCGGGGGGGCAAGTAAATCTCCTAGGGGTCACAACAAGCTTGTGATTTGTCAGGGGGGATGAGTCTGCATTTGTTACAAGCCCCTTGGTGTCAGCCACGCAGCAGCAGAGGGCTGTGCTTCAGCAGTAGCTCCTAGACATTGCCACACACATCTGGAAGCAGCCCTTCCCAGTCTGGGCTCGGCATCGTAGACTAGCTCTTCAGAACACCTAGGACACCTGCTACAACAGACTGTGAAACTCCAGGTGCCAAGTCAGACCTGGGCCTGAGACTCTGTACTTTCAAGAAGCCACGGGAAGTGCTTCTGCTTTTTGTCTACAGAACACATGTAGTGTGCTAGTCGGTCTACAGCACTCCGTCCCAGATGTAGACTGGCTCTCATACCTTCCCCGCTTTGCAGCAGGAAGCCCACATTCTTGGCTTGGCCAGTGTGGATTACTGTATCCTCTGTCCCCTAAGCCCTGGGTGGACCAGTCCTGCCACTGACCCTGCAGTTTCTCTCTAGGCCTGCCCAGCCTTGGTCTGTATTGTTTCCTCGGCTCATGCTGCCTGCCCAGCCCAGGACCTGAAATGCACACCTACC